TATATATATATATATATATATATATATATATATATATATACATACATACACACATACAGCATCATCTGTTATTATTGTTGCACATTCCTTTGTACATTCTACCTCATGATGCCCATTGCACTGATATCGTCACTGACCTTATGGTTATATATTTACAAATACCTAATTCTATTTTATACTTCTCATTTCCACCCTACTCTAATATATCCACATTGCACTATATTAATGTAGATTTAGATTGTATTTCATAGATAACTGCATTGAGCTGGTCTCTGCACCTGTCCCTCATAAATGTTTATTGTACATACACATATATACATATTTATATCATGATCATATATGATCATGTACTGGTTACACCACTGCACACCTCGGATCACTTACTCCTCACTCTTAACCTCAACATGGTTCCTGACACAACACATACCCCTCCACATGTCATCTTTCGACGGTTTTGATTGCTTCTATTGTCCTCATTTGTAAGTCGCTTTGGATAAAAGCATCTGCTAAATGACTAAATGTAAATGTAATGTAAATATTTATATATACATATTTATGCTTATTTGTATAAATTGGCTATTTTCACTTCTGGTTAGATGCTAACTGCATTTCATTGGCCCTGTACATGCACTCTGCACAATGACAGTAAAGTTGAATCTTATCTAATCTAATCTAATTTATAAATCATTTTACGATGCAACATATTTATGAATGATTTTTAATAATTCATGATAAGGTGTGTACATTCACATTTATTTTGGAGTCATTAAATTTAAATTCTTCTAGAAAAAGTAACATTTTTCAAAAACATATGTAACCAACATGAATAGAAAGAAATGCATTTTAGATTAATTTTGTTTCCATATCTGTATTCAGCTTTATTTGTCATTGAAACATTTCGCAGTTAATCGTAGTGTTTACACCACACATTAGAACCGCGGTGAAAATGCAGTGAGCTTGAGGGAAGAAAATTTTCCTGTTGAATACTCATGATGGTTTGATTTAGATGGGTTCATAGAGTTATGTTCTTGTCTGCTTTTTTTTTTTTTTGACAGAAGAGAGGATATCTTGTCCATCCTGACAAAGGTAAACCATGAAGTGAGCATGAGAATGTTGAGGGGCCGCAAGCAGATGCCTGAACCTCGATATACCCTCACCAAGAAGCTGGTCCTGCCCATGGACTAAAGATTCTTATTGACTTCTGTAAGACTGGATTCATGCTAAAGAAGTTTCCGTTATTCCATTACTCAGACTCTATTAATTCTTCAGGGTGGATCAAGGCACTTTGGTACTATAGATTCAAATTGATCTGGCTGTCGCTGTGAGTTTAATCTTAATTATTAAGTTTACTGCACTGAGTTACGGAAATGTGGTTGTGTGATCTTGTTTAAACAATGCAATTTAAAAGTAATAAAACATTTATATTTGATACTGGGCACAGCTATTTTTAAACTAATGTTAGGCATGATGATTTTATACCAGCAGTCTAAATGATTTAGTTTTGAATGCTGTTTGTAAATGCTTATTTTTGCCATTAATGTCTTCCTTGGCAATCTAAAATGTGTTAAGAGATTTTTAACTCTTTAAAGACTTGGCAATTGTAAGAAATCATTGATGTCTAGAAATGAGTGAAATTAAACATCAAACATTCTTAAAAGTGTCATTTTTTATATTTAATTATTTTAGCATATATAATGTTTTGCATCACAAAACACAACATGTTATTTTCCACCCTCTCTCTGACCCTGTTATGTGGACTTTTTTTTCCATTATTGTTATTTTATTACATTTTAACTGCACAAATATTCTTTCTATTACATGGAAATGCATGAGTACAAGAAACAAAACTAAAAAAACTTCCCATTTCCTTACAATAATGTTCAGTGCCACCTCTATTCTTATATTCGTAGATTTCTGCTATCACCTCGCCATGCACCATGTTTAAAGAAAGGTCCCAAAACTCTGCCAAATATCTTAAATTTATCTATTAAAATATAACTTGTGTTTTTCATTGACATATGTTATCTTTTCTTTGAGGCAATGTCCTATATTTTGTGCCCAAATACTTCCAATTTAAAGAAGTAAGCCATTTAGTTTGCAGGATACATGTTTATACATGTATATTTAATAAACAAAACAAAACTTGATTTCCTTATATATATATATAAATTAAAAAAGGCAATGGAATATAACATCAAGGATCTTCTCTATCATTTCTTTCACATCTTTCTAAAACTCGTTGACTTCCCACTCCCAGACATACAGTATGCAATGATATAGCGTAGATGTAAACTCACTGCATCTTAAGCAAGTATAATTTCTATTCTAAGACAGGTGATGGTGACATATCAAGAGTCATTCTATTCCTGAACCTTGAGGTCACCTTGTGCATGTACAATACAAGAGTCATTGTAGTTTTTGTATTTAGTAGAAACAGGTTAGTCTGGGACCTTCAGCCATGATGAAAACTGTTGTTCCATGTTATAAAGCAGTTTTCCCCTGTGTTTATTAAGTGCATATAAATCCAGAATGGCACGTTACCCTGTTCTTTCTTGGGGACTGAAAAATATTGGAGGCAGCACACAGGAGGAGGAATTTAGGGTCCCCTTATTTCTTTGGGAAACCTTTTGTTCGGCAATTGAGGGTCAGCACTAAATGTTCCTGTGGACATCAAAAGTTTTAGAAGTAATTGCAATTGTTTGTGTTTGGCCCAAAACTTGTGGGGGTGATGGTGACAAGACGATGTTAGGAAGCTGTAGGGACATGAATCTCCATAATCTCCTCCTATATCTATTTCCTGTAATTTAAAATTAAACATTCTTAGTCAGGGTGCTAAACAGGACCCATTCTTCTAATATCAATAGTTAACTGATATCTAATTTTGTTCAAAAGTTTAATTCATTAAGTAGGCCTCATATATTTGGTCCCCCACCAGCTTTCTAAAATAGTTATTTTTCCGATCTGTCATTAATTAAAGCTGTGACAGAATATTGGAAAAATTGTATAAGTAGCGAAGAACAAGGAAGATTTCAATTTCAGATAATTATGCGTTATTGATTAAAAAAAGATAAGTTGTTTTGATTTTGAGTTCACATTTTAAGGAAATTTGAATCATTTTAATGAAAGTTACTTTTTTTTTTAAATGCGTTTTTCAATTATAAAGTCATTGTTTACCAGTATGTTCTTAGTTGTTCCAGAGCATTTATTATTACGACAGCCATTGAATTTTTTTGCTAAGGACGGAGATTTGGAATATCAGCGCAAGGAATCTCTCTCTCTCTCTCTCTCTAAAATAATTTTAAATCTCTAAATATTTTCGGGTTTCGGGTCAGGTTCCATGTAAATGTTAAAACGGCTTGCCATACGGGTTCGGGTTAATGTTTAATGAATAGCTTCGGGTTCGGGTCGGGCTCGGGTTTATAGAACTAAACTTAAACTATATGCAGTAGGCTACGCTACTTTCATAGACGCACGCACACACATTAGTGCACACGACAACACAGCACGGAAACTTTTATTAGTAAAATAGCTTCGACAGGCTACTGACTCGCAACTTTATATTTATCTGAAATGAGGGGGTAAAATCGCTGATGTCATTGTAGTTTTTGTATTTAGTAGAAACAGGTTAGTCTGGGACCTTCAGCCATGATGAAAACTGTTGTTCCATGTTATAAAGCAGTTTTCCCCTGTGTTTATTAAGTGCATATAAATCCAGAATGGCACGTTACCCTGTTCTTTCTTGGGGACTGAAAAATATTGGAGGCAGCACACAGGAGGAGGAATTTAGGGTCCCCTTATTTCTTTGGGAAACCTTTTGTTCGGCAATTGAGGGTCAGCACTAAATGTTCCTGTGGACATCAAAAGTTTTAGAAGTAATTGCAATTGTTTGTGTTTGGCCCAAAACTTGTGGGGGTGATGGTGACAAGACGATGTTAGGAAGCTGTAGGGACATGAATCTCCATAATCTCCTCCTATATCTATTTCCTGTAATTTAAAATTAAACATTCTTAGTCAGGGTGCTAAACAGGACCCATTCTTCTAATATCAATAGTTAACTGATATCTAATTTTGTTCAAAAGTTTAATTCATTAAGTAGGCCTCATATATTTGGTCCCCCACCAGCTTTCTAAAATAGTTATTTTTCCGATCTGTCATTAATTAAAGCTGTGACAGAATATTGGAAAAATTGTATAAGTAGCGAAGAACAAGGAAGATTTCAATTTCAGATAATTATGCGTTATTGATTAAAAAAAGATAAGTTGTTTTGATTTTGAGTTCACATTTTAAGGAAATTTGAATCATTTTAATGAAAGTTACTTTTTTTTTTAAATGCGTTTTTCAATTATAAAGTCATTGTTTACCAGTATGTTCTTAGTTGTTCCAGAGCATTTATTATTACGACAGCCATTGAATTTTTTTGCTAAGGACGGAGATTTGGAATATCAGCGCAAGGAATCTCTCTCTCTCTCTCTCTCTAAAATAATTTTAAATCTCTAAATATTTTCGGGTTTCGGGTCAGGTTCCATGTAAATGTTAAAACGGCTTGCCATACGGGTTCGGGTTAATGTTTAATGAATAGCTTCGGGTTCGGGTCGGGCTCGGGTTTATAGAACTAAACTTAAACTATATGCAGTAGGCTACGCTACTTTCATAGACGCACGCACACACATTAGTGCACACGACAACACAGCACGGAAACTTTTATTAGTAGAATAGCTTCGTCAGGCAAATCTAGACTAGTCTGCATTGTTTCTTAAGGCATTGTAGGTCTTTTGATGAGGTGAGTGCTTAGTGATCACTCATTTTTGTTTTCGTGCCTGTGCACAAAAGTGCGCGAACAGCACAACTTCCCGCTTTTCGCCACGCACGCCGCACAGTGAACTAAATAATGCACCAAACACCGGATATTTTAAAGCCATTTAAATTTCTACGAGTTCTAACTTTGATGCACGATTTCGTTGATAATATACAAACATGTAATGTTTCTGTTGTTATTACAGATGGATAAAACTGGTACTGCCAGCAACAAAAATCAGACAAGTCAGTGTAACAAGAATGAGCAGAAGAAGGTCAAAGAATCAGATGGATCAAACAAAAAGAAGGCTGTAGGGAGGAATTCACAAGCAAGTATTTCTTTTTATCATTCAATGAAAGTTAAAGTGACATGTAGCCAAGTAAGGTGTCCCATACTTGGAATTTGTCCTCTGTGAGTATTGAACACCCACCCGTCCAGGGAGCAATTGGAGGTTAGGGGGCCTTGCTCAAGGGCACTTCAGTAATGTGGGTGGAAGAGAGCGCTGTTCATTCTCATTTCCTGCTGGTACTGAGACTCGAACCCGTGACCTTCAGTTCCGACTCTCTAACCAATAGGCCACAACTACCCCCCACAGTCTAAAATGTCTTGTTATTTAGATTAGACAGATGCTGATCGAAAATTATATTACGGAGCCATTCTTATATTATTAAAAGTATTTTTTATGTCATGCAGGGAGACAAAGAAAATCTTCCTGAATGTATTCAAAATACAAATGGACCTAAAAGAAAGCGGGAACCCCTTCAACCCACCGGCAATATTTCTGATCATTACCCTAAAAAGAAACGGGTGGGTAAGTCATTTACAAGCTGTTATGTTAATAAACCTACATATTAGCCAAGCTTATCCTTCTCCTAACATGTCCTTATTTTCACAGTGTCAACACAGAGGAAATTTTATTCCATTTCAAATAGGCCTCTTGGATATTGTTTGATCATCAACAACTATAACTTTGAGAGAACGTCACTTGGAAACCGGAGAGGGACAGACAAAGATAAAGGTATTTTTGGGAGTTTGAGGGAGTTGAATTTCTAAATTTATTTAGATATGTACTTTAACATAATCTATTGAATTAGTCAAATATGGCTTTGTGAAGACCTAACTGCATTTTTCTTTGTCTTCTAGATGTTCTCACCAGAGTGTTTGAGAACATGTTTTTCAAAGTTGAGGTGCGGGTTGATTTGCAAGCGTCGGATATGCAAAATGTGATAAAGGAGTTTTCAGAGAGGTATCACTCTAAGATGGATGCTTTTGTCTGTTGCATCCTGTCCCATGGAGAGAAAGGCTCTGTTCTGGGAATAGATGGGAAACCAGTTCCGATCCGTGAACTCACACAGCCTTTTGCTGAATGCCACACACTGGTTAATAAGCCCAAGCTTTTCTTCATTCAAGCCTGTCAGGGTAACGAGGCCCAGCAAGGTATGTGGATGGCAGAAGAACAGGAGAGCACTAGAGAAGAAGGAACATTTAAGGAGGATTCTCATACTGCAGCATCGCACAATGGGCCTCATTTACGAAACGAACGTATGACAGAAAATTGGGCGTATGGTCGTTTCAACGTTAGATTGATAAATGAGGCCCAATGTCCCTAAAGACGCTGATTTCCTCATTGGAATAGCAACAGTCAAGTACTACAAATCTTTCCGCCACACAACAGATGGGTCCATCTTTTTCCTGGAGCTCTGCAAGCAGCTGGAAAGTGGCTGTCTACGGTGAGTTGTGGTCTTGATTTTGAGAAGGTTTAGATTTTGAAGCTTATGTTAGAATTAAAGACCCTATTTGCATTTGATGTTCAAGGAAGAGTTCACCTAAAAATGAAATTTTGCTGAACATTTACTCAGCCTCAGACCATCCAAGATGTAAATGAGCGTGCTTAGAAATTTAGCATTACATCACTTGCTCACCATTGGATCCTCTGCAGTGAATGGGTGCAGTCCATAATAATGCTTCCTCCAGTGAAAAAGACCATCCTGTGTTGTCCTTTCACATCAAAATATTTGTTTAGAATGGTTTTGGACTGTTCCTGCAGGTAAAAGGTGCTTGATCTGTGCATATTTCCTTCCTGATTCAGACGAGACAACTTTCTCACATGGACTTCAGCCAGATGTAACAGTTTGAAGTTAAAAACATTTATTACAAACATGCAGCTTTGTGCTTCACAAAACGTTTATGAACTGGATTCATGATTACTTGTAGATTATTGCGATGTTTAGTAACTCTCATTCTGATGGCACCCATTCACTGCAGAGGATCCATTGGTGAGCAAGTGATGTAATGCTACATTTCTCCAAATCTGTTCTGATGAAGAAACAACTTCATCTACATCTTGGATGGCCTGAGGGTGTGTAAATTTTTAGCAAATGTTCATTTTTGGATGAACTATTCATTTAACATCTATTTTGGATGACTTTATCAGAAGTAGTGCAATGCATCTTGCATTGTGGTCTGATCATCACAATCAATGGTTGGTAATGCATATGACCTCATTGCACATGTAAACAACACTAATGCATTTTGAAAAAAGTGAAAGTGAAAAAAGTGACATGACATGTGGCCAAGTATGGTGACCCATACTCGGAATTAGTGCTCTGCATTTATCCCATCCAAAGTGCACACACACAGCAGTGAACAGACACACAGAAGTGAACACACACCCGGAGCAGTGGGCAGCCATTTTTTTGCTGCGGCACCCGGGGAGCAGTTGGGGGTTCGGTGCCTTGCTCAAGGGCACCTCAGTCGTGGTATTGAAGGTGGGAGAGAGCGCTGTACATTCACTCCCCCCACCTACAATCCCTGCCGGTACGAGGCTCGAACCCGCAACCTTTGGGTTACGAGTCCGACTCTCTAAACTATCTAGTAGAATCTGCGATCACTGACCCAGTACATTTGCTGGCTTCCATGGCTGCAATACAATGTGTTTTCCACTGATTGGCAACACGGGATGTTGAAATACAGTTGGGTAAATTGACAGTGGACAGAATTACACAGACCAAAACAAAAACAGACATTCTGGCACAGAATGCACATTTCAGAGTAGAATAACTGGCTGTAGCATTGTTTTTTTGGAGAAACAAGTATGTAAACTTAGCATGTTTCCTAAAGATCTGCAAACATATGGTATTTTATACTCTAGTATAGTCATAAAATATTGCAAACAACACCTTTAAGGACTGTGTTTTTGTATGTATTGTTTTATTTTTTGGGAACATATTTATGACATGGACAATTGTTTTTATCATCTAAATTGTACAGTGCTCTGTTGTGTTAAAACTAAAGAGCTCTATTTCCTTATGTTGTGTCTGTCTGGAAGACAGATCAATTATTATTTTTTTTATTATTCATACCAATGCTGTATTTAAATAAATAGCTGACAAATCATCAGAGGCATAGGACAACTCGAATACAATAAGTTAAATTAATTGAAGAGATCAAAAACTTAAGATAATTTGGTTTTTGTAAATGTATTTATTTTCGATGAGTATTAATAAGTGATTATCAAGTGATTTCTTAGCCCAGCCTGTGGAAATATGCATGGTGAAGCCAACATTTTGCATATAATCTTTCTGTTGATGAATGTTTATTTTAATTGGGTAATTTCAATTCCATTTCATTGTACATTGAGTAATGCACCAGGATTTTGTATATAAACATTACAATGACTTTTTTTACATGGAGAAAATTATTTTTGTTACCGTTTGTGTAATATGTACATAATCTGCAGAAGTGCTATATTATAAATATCTATTTGTCATTAAAAAAGTGAAAAACAAATAACTCAGGAATCTCTTTGATTAAAAAGTTTAGGCTTGAGTTGGAACAAATGTGTGTATATTAGGGCTGCACAATTAATTGAATTTCTAATCGCGATTACAATTATGGATGCCACAATTACGTAATCGTTCAAAGCGGCAATTAATCGTTCAAAGTCCACTTATGTTATTCTGTGTGCTTAAGATGCATTTTTTTCTTTCTACATGTTATCTTAAGGGTTTTTCCATTGTTTTAATTTTAGTTTTAGTATGATATTATAATACCATTCATATTTTTACTTTTTTTTTATAATTTAAAGAAGAAACCAATCCGATGTATAGTTGACATTTGAGGCTTAATACTAT